GTTTTCCCAAGTTCAAAGATGTGCATGTGACGGGTCTGGTCCAGAAGTTGTAACTAATGTTCTTTTGACTAGAAGTGATTGATGTTCGGAAATTTTAACTATTACGTTATGTGTGTTTCTAGGTGAAGTTTGCTATTCAATACATGCGAAGAGCTATCCAGAAGAAGGCAAAATTTGACATAATGGAACTGAACACCATTAAGGTTTTCATTCTATCGATTATCTGCTTGGGTGTCTTTGAGTTCCTCATATAAATTCTCAGTTGCATACTAATTAGTTGAGTGAAGAATTGATGTGCATATTCTCTTTTTTCTTGGGGATAGATTCAATGCTACTGTTGAAGAAAAAAAGGAAATTTTTTAGATGCTATTCTCATGAGAATTTTTTGTCAAAAGATAAAGATTTTAGTTGACACTTGACATGTGTTTCATGCCCTTTCTTTAGAAAAGTATATAATCATATGTATTAAGGTCAATGGCTCTCCCGGATTTTCTAACTAAGTTTGTATTTTATCCTTCTAAAAACCCTTGACCTAGTTGACTGAAAAAAACAAGAGCGATCACGGTAAATGCTCGTCTTAATTTATATAAACATTTAAAATATTAGATAGTGGAAGTACAATGTGAGCAGTTGAGAAGGCACTTATTGTCCAACTTAAGTTAAATGAACCAAACAACGGATTGATTTTTCCTCTGGATTATTTCCACAGCCCTGTTCTTTTTTTCTTTTTTTTTTTTTAAATAATAAAGGACCAGCCTTTCATGGAGAGTAAAGGAAAGAATAAAAGAGCACCCAAAATAAAAAAAAATAAAAAAAAATAAAAAGCCAACAAAAAGAAAAGGAAAAAGTTCATTAGTAATCTTTTTAAGAAGTTAAAGGCAATTCTATGTGTGGTGATCAGTTTAAATTTATTATTAATGAACTTTGAAGATAAGTCTAGGATAATAATTTTGGGGCTCTTACATGTTTTCTTTCTTTTAGTTGGTATATTCTTTCCAACAACTTCTATAATCATGGTCCTTCTCTTGTTCTTGCTGATTGTTAAAATTTTCTTTCATGTTGGTAGGGGGACTTATCTTCTCTTGTTGTGATGCTTGTTTGTTGTCATTGAATTGATCTATTATAACGAAAGAAAATGCCGCAGTACTAGTTCAGCCAGAAATTGGAAATGAAACATTATGTTCTTCATAATTTTTCTTATTATTTTTAATGCTTACTATTTGAAGTGAGATTGATCCAATATTGTTCTGTCTAGGTGGCAAAATCTTGCTTTGTACCAGTGCTAATAGGGCACGCCATTGATGACGACTTCATACAACCTCATCACTCAGACCATATATATGAAGCTTATGTGGTAAATCCTTGTTACCCAGTTACCTAGCACAAAGTTTTTAGTTTGATGAGGGGTAATGTTATTATGTAGCAAATTCAATAACAGAACAACTCTTGGATTTTGTAAACTACCTATTGGATTCAGTGAGATCCGAAAACACATGGTGCATACTGCAGCTGTAGCCTGTAGCACCTTATAAAACTTTAGTGGTTCTACCCTTCCATCCAAAAACCGTTTCATTGTCGAGTGATGGCTCTGCAATTCCTCTTACGAGATTCAAAGAAGTCGTCCTTTCGGTGCCTTATTCCCCAGGATGTAGCTCTGTGCGATAAAGACTTTAATCACACGATAACCTTTTCTTTCATAAATACTTTTGCTAAAATATGGGACTATATTCCAGAGTTTCAACCTTCTGTGTTCTTATCAGAAGTTTCAGGGTTTCCCTCCCTCTCTCCCTCCTGTTTCTTCTTGCTAGCACATTATTTAATGAACCTAAAGACGCGTATTTGAAGACAGGATTCTTCATGTTTCTTGTGCGGTTGATTCTAATTTTTACGTTGAGCTGTCCAAATATGTTCGTAAGCCTCTTCCTTTAATCGTTCGTGTTAATCAAGGAGCTTTTGTCGAACTCTTTGCCCTTTGTCTTCGCTTATGGTCGTGGTTAGTAAACTATTTCTTACATCCCCACCCCACCCCAAAAAATTTGATGGTATGTGGTGCAAACTGTTAGGTGCTTAATTGTTAACTTGCCAAACATTTTACACTGCTAAGGTTTTTAATCAAATTGTCTCTTTTGCAGGGGGATAAAAACATTATCAAGTTTGACGGTGATCACAATTCTCCACGGCCTCAATTTTACTTCGATTCTGTAAATATCTTCTTCCACAATGTTTTGCAGCCCCCAGAGGATGAAATAGGGGATATTTATATTAACAGTATGACATCCTACTTCAGTAACAAGGTAAATTGGCCCAGTGCGTCTGCTGGATTTCACCTCTGCTGAACTGCCAGATCTAATATCAGCTATGTTTTACCTTCAGGATTACTGGAGAGTGGTGCAAGAAGCAGGCCCTAACCATGGTTCTTCCACAACATCAAGAGGCATGACTTAATAATTTACTCTTTTCTGCTTCTTTATAGTAAGTTTCTTCACAGGATTTTATTTTTCTTACTTGCAGATTTACCAACTAATAGTACAGAAGGTGCCATTAAGGAACTCCGTTCAAAAAGACCTATGAGTCGGATCGAGGTAGTTTTATATGCGTACTCTATTGTCTTGTATGAAAACGGAATCAACATTTTGGTGACATTTTATGACTTAACGTCCCTTGCCTCAGGTTCCTCCCGATCTCCCCTCTGGAGATAATCCATCCCAATCTCAGGTATCGCCATAGCTTCTAATTTGACTTTTCGAAATGCATGTCCAAAATACGACATAAGCATAGCTGAACTGGTCTAGATATTAGTAGAAATCTTCCCTTATAACGTTGATTAGTGTTCAAATCATCTTGTTGTAATATTTTTAAATTTAATGTGAGATCCCACATCGGTTGGGGAGGAGAACGAAGCATTCTTTATTAAGGGTGTGGAAACTTCTCCCTAGCATGCGCGTTTTAAAAACCTTGAAGGGAAGCCCAAAAAGTATAATATCTACTAGCGATGGGCTTAGGTCGTTACATTTAATGAATGCCGAGGATACTTTTAATTAGCAGTAAACTTTGTACAGTTAGCTTTAGTACATATGTGACATCCTCAATAATGTTGAAAAGCCTTGATAGACGTTGCTTTGCTGCAGGAGCAGAGTACATATAATGACGCTGAGTTGTCGTCTTCAAATATGATTAGTTTCGAATTATCCAATGGCCATCCATATGGACCCAATGTACCGAATTTGATGGATGACGATCAGTATGTCGAGTATCCACTTGATGACTTGGCAGGGTTCCCATGCAGTGCAGAGGAGGAAGAAATGGTGAGTCTGAATGTATAATGTCTGATTCGTAGTAATTTTCACGTCGTCTAATCTCTAAACTAGCAACAACCTTTTAAGATGGTTTGTTTTCTTTCCTTTGTGTGGTAAACCAATTTCAGATGCTTATGGAAGCAATGATGAAATCATTGAAGGATTTCAAAATGAAAAACAATGAAGAAGACGATCGAACTTTGACTGTTTGTACCGACACGAAGGACGTTTTGCAGAAAGATGAATGTGGAGTTTTGCGAATAGACGATTGTGGAGTTCTGCATCCGGAAGCTACTTCCACTTCAAATGACCATTTTTCTCTGTTTAATACAGAATCTGCTTCAACTTCAGAAGTGTGCAGTATACCTATTGAACCAGAGTCTACTTCTGCAGCTAGGAATTCGGTATTGGATCGCTCGTGTTCGGATAAAAGTGAACCATCTGTAGGGCCTGTATCTTATGCTTTTCCCTCAACTTCTGGAACTGAAAATGCAGTGGCTTCCTCTTGTAGTAATACGCCTGCAAATTCCCAAAGTTCAGCCGAAACCGACTTGTCAGCCAATACGAAGGCAACCATAGCTGTCGTTCGCAATCCCACAAGCCATATTCTGGACGGTTTGATTCGTCGTTGGGACCTCAATCTCTTCAGAAACAATCAGAACCGGTGAGCCGGGATGTTCTTGTGTTTTTTCCCCTTTGCTCCTACAGATTGTGCGCAATCTGATGTTTTTGTATTGCTGTGTAGCTAAGAAAGTTGCTTTGATGTTAGTTTGTAAAAATATTAGACCCAGAAAAAAGGAAAAAAGTCAAAGAAAAGAAAGATTCGTTTTAGGAGTTTAATATTGAATGTAGCCATTTTTTTTCCCACAAACATTGTGCAAACACTTTGTACCAATTTCTTCTGAAAATACTTCCGATCAGCTGGCTGAGATCCTGCATCGGTTGGAAACGTTAACGAAATATTCTTTTTAAAGGTATAAAAATATATCCATAACAGACATGAAACATCTTTTATATGGGTGTTAAAACCTCCCCTAACAGCGGTGGACTAGACACGGAGCTGTGTGCCAAGTGAGGACGCTATTCCCCAAAGAGGGTGGATTGTGAGATCCCACATCTATTAGAGATGGTAACGAAACATTCTTTATAAGGAGATAGAAACCTCTCCATAATAGACGCATTTTTTCTCCATAATAGACGCATTTTAAAACTGTGAAGCTGACATCAATATGTAACGAACCAACTGCCAATGGTGGCCTTAGACTATTACATAAACTCTAGAGTTTTATCAATAAAAAGCCGATTTAAATTGACTCACTAATAAAAATTCGACCATTTTATTGATATAATTATAAATTTGCACCGGCAAACTAAAAAAAAACGAAGTTTGAGAAAAGGTGAAAATATATAATTAAAAAAATACTAGCATAATTATTAGCTAGAGTTTTTAAAGATACAACATCAAAGTTTAAAAATATTATTTTTTTTATTATCATTTTATCCGGACAATTTAATTATAAATTTATTTTATTTTCTATTTTAATTAGTTGAATTATATTTAAATTAATAGTTAAATCTGAATAATCAATGAAAAATTACTATATATGTTGTGAAAAGAACATTAGGGGAAAAAGACTGAAGCCCAAACTCTCCGACAGGCATTGCTCTTGCGGCGTTTCGCCGAAGAGTAGTTGTTGTAAACAAAGAGAGGGAATCTTTCTTTCTTTTTGTTTTTGTTTATGTTTAGTTTTTGTTTATGCGATTTGGACTGTAATTACTGTTCATACAAATTTCCAAACCCAATCCGCCATTTTTGTTTTCTTTCCCCTTTCTCTTTTCCCTAGAAGATTAAACGAATTCAAAGCTCTCAGACCCACCAAGAACGAAGCCCCAATTTGATATTACTCTATAATCTGAGGAGCAAATTGTTACACTTTTCACCCTTCATCCAATCATAGACTCTCTTCGAGCCCTCTCCCCTTTTTTCCCTCGAGGACGATAATTCGATTTCCAGTCAAGAACGCCACCAAATCGTCATCCTCGGGCAGTTCTCTGCAATATCCTTGTGTTGATTTTGTTTCCCCCAATTTGTTCGCTCTTGTCGCGATGATTCTTTTGTCGTTTCAGATCCTAAACCCTAATTTTTGATCGGGTTTTGATTTATCGGCCGACGGTTCTCGAGTTCAGTTTGCGGTCCGGCACATTAAAGATTTGTTGTATACGATTCTTTAGTTAATGGGCACGATTAAATCTTGCAGGGATGCCTCTAAATCCTTCTCAAATCTTCGATCGCCATCGCCCCCACCAGTGACTTCTTCCACTTCTCGATTTGAGACCGTGAATGGATCGCACGAGTTCAGGATCAATGGGTATTCTCTCAATAAAGGGATGGGGAGTGGGAAATATATTGCGTCCGATACCTTCATGGTTGGGGGCTATGCGTTTGCTGTATATTTCTATCCCGATGGGAAGAGCGCCGAGGATAACGCGTCTTATGTCTCGGTGTTCATAGCGTTGGCTAATGAAGGGACTGACGTTAGAGCCCTTTTTGAATTGACGCTTTTGGATCAAAGTGGGAAGGGGAACCACAAGGTGCATAGCCATTTCGAGAGAAGGCTTGAGAGTGGCCCTTATACGCTGAAGTACCGAGGAAGCATGTGGTAAGCATTGTGTTTCGTTGATTTGCTACTAAGATCTACCAGTGATTATGTTTCTTTGAATGCTATTTTATGTTCTTCATTCTCATGTATAAATTTCCTGTATTGTTTCACCACAAGCTGTCCAACGCTTTAACATTTTTGGAGCATTTGGTGTGAGTCTGTCAAATGCTCGACAAGCCGCTACATTAGCGGCGCATAAACCATGTTTGTTGTCCGATCCAGACCTGTTAGGAAACTCCCTTTCTGTAGCTCTCCTGCTAGTAGTTATGATTAAGATCATTTTACTGCTTAGACAACTGCCCTGAAGATGAGCTTCCTAGCTCCTCTCAGCCTCGGTATACCTATAAGCTCTCCAAATCCCAATTCGGCCAGGTTCCTTCTGGTCACCAATTTCCAGCCATTTGTTTGCTTGGTTCGAGTTCATTGGCCTTTCGGTATATCTATCATTTGTTTTGCACATATTGAGCCCTTGTTACACATAATAAATTGACGTATGTCTAATTTCCTTCTGGTTATCTGTCTATTTCATTTTTTTTTTTAATTACAAACAGTTGGGAATCGATTGTCTTTCATTTTGATAGTGAGTCGTTTTTAGATATTATAAGTAAAGTCAAGAATAATAGGTAGAACTGGAGGAGCGAAGCTGCTTGACGAGACTTGAACCCTTCACCTTCAAGGTATAGAACTGCTAGTCTTGATCTAGTCCGTCTCCTCGGAATGATCTCGAGCTACTTACTTACCTCATACACCAGGGAGGCTTCTAGCTTCTCCGAAAACAAAATTCTAACTTTTGAAATTGTAGGGACAAATTCTAATTTTCTTAAAAAAAAACTATATGGACCAAGTTTGCTTCTAATCCTCCGTATTATTAAAAGAAAATATACTATTTGATGCCTTAACCAATCTTGGATAAGAATCTACAAACGCACTAGAACGCCCTTATTGACGATCCTTTACTCCGACAGCATCTAGGATTCTTCGAACAATGTGATATCTCTCACTGGACACAACAAAATTGTGTCCTATTTTCTCTGGAACCTTCTCTTTTGTTAACATCTCAGGATTTCTTCCCCATTTCTTCACTCGATGATAAAATGTTTTGTTTCTTTTATTGTGGAATGAAGAAGAAAGGAAATGACCAGGATTCCTTTTTTTTTCTATTGTACAGGGGGTATAAACGTTATTTTAAACGAACTCTTCTAGAAACATCTGACTTCCTAAAGGATGACTGCCTCGAAATCCGCTGTGTAGTTGGTGTCGTTAAGTCCCATACAGAGGGGCCAAAGATTTACTCCATAACACCACCACCCTCTGATATAGGCCAGCATTTTGGGAAGCTATTGGAGAGTGAGAAGCTAACTGATGTGAACTTTGAAGTAGATGGGGAAATATTTTCCGCCCACAAGTTAGTTCTTGCAGCACGCTCACCCGTCTTTAGGGCACAACTCTTTGGCCCTCTTAAGGACCACAATACTGAGTGCATAAAAGTCCAAGATATGGAAGCCCCAGTCTTTAAGGTGCTCTCCCCCTTTCATGTTAGCTTTTCTTTTGGCGCACTTTACCAATGTAAATGCTTCATGCTATGTTTTTTAGAAGAAGAATGGTTTTTCTGTTCTATCTTTTCGATTTTTTCAACCGATAATTTCAATGCTTAGTTTAGACCTCGGGATAGTTTCTTCGTATTCTTCTAATTTCAATGATTCTGTGAGTTTTGGAGAATTAGGAGTGTATGTGATGTGGAATTCCTCATTGTTCATACAATTACAGGGATTGCTTCATTTCATATACTGGGATGCCCTACCAGACATGCAGGAAATGGTAGGTTTGAACTCAAAATGGGCTTCCACGCTTATGTCTCAGCATCTTCTTGCCGCTGCAGACAGATATGCACTTGACAGACTCAAATTGCTTTGCGAGGCTAAACTATGTGAGGATGTTGCTATAAATACAGTGGCAACGACATTAGCATTGGCTGAGCAGCATCACTGTTTTCAACTAAAAGCTGTATGTCTGAAAGTCATCGCCTTGCCGGAGAATTTGAGAGGTATCTATGTTTTCCGAGTACTTAAATGTCGGTTGATGCACGATGCATATGAAAATGGTTGTTTGGTGGCTCTCCATTGATGCATATGTGGTATTATTATGTTTGTCTTTCAGCTGTAATGCAAACGGAGGGGTTTGAATATTTGAAAGAGAGCTGCCCGTCGGTTCTCACCGAGCTACTAGAATACGTAGCAAAGGTGACGGAGCACGCAGTGAATACTTGCAGCGGGTACGGTAATGGGACGGTATTGGATGGAAATTACGCGAATGGTAGACGGGTAAGGCAGAGGCTGTATTGAGCTGATCAGCAATGCGTCGAAACCACCATTTGTGGTCGTGAATAAGATAGAGAGAAAGCAAAGTGCAGAGGTCGGTTTGATTTTAAACATGGTCAGTCTGTAATGCAGTGATGATTGCTAATTCACATTGTAAAAATCAATCAATCTGGATGGATGGCGTGAGCGTATCTTTTAGTCTTCTTTGTAATGGATGAGGATCATATTCTGTATTTACATATATTACAAAGTTCAAAGTCGCAGGATGCTGTAGAAATTCTTGGCTTAAGCCTAAAATGCCCATGGCTTGAAATGATTTTTCTCTTCTTTTTACATTTATTTCTAATTTTAAGTTGAAATTTATGACAATTTTGTTCCACCGATGTAACTGCCCATGCCCACTATCTAGTATTGTTTTTAGGACGAGCTTAGAAGAGCTTTTCACACCCTCGTGAGGAATGCGTCAATGCCCACTCTCTAGTATTGTTTTTAGGAAGAGCTTTTTATACCCTGTTCGATCTCACAACCTATCCCCTAGCGTCTTTGCTGGCACACTACCTTTGATACTATTTGTAATAGCTTATAGCACCGTGCTAGTAGATATGTCTTCTTTGGGTTTTCCCTAAGATTTTTAAGATACGTCTATTAGAGAGACTATTAGAGAGAGGTTTCCCACACCCTTACAAGGAATGCTTCGTGTCCTCTTTGGGTTTGCCCGGAAGGTTTCCACACTCTTACAAGGAATGTTTCTTGTCCTCGAGCTTCACTCAAAGTTTTTAAGACCCATCACCCTTACAAGGAATGATTTGTTCCTCCATCCAATCGATATGGGATCTCACAACTAATTTGTTACTCAATTTGGTCACAACTATTACCAAGTATTCTCACAACTGGGTAATTAAATCAAATAGAACACAGCGAAATGAGTTGAGTAGTTTAACTGGAAATGCAATCAACAAGAAGCTCATCAGAATTTCTCAAGTGATACAAAGAAGTTAGATATGAAGACGGTTGAAGTGAAAAAATATAAGCAAGTCTATGGGGTTACTACATACTTCATACATAGCAGAATCAGCTGCAGATAACAGCAATCTTAGTGGATTGGATTAGTGAAGTTCTATAACTTATACCTGCGTAGATTGAAGGTGTAAAGAAAGCATAATAATCAGTGTCATGGTCCTAATTTCAAGAGCCAGGTAAGCTGCAACCAGTCACAATACTTCAGCCGAGACGATGAACATTCAACGTGTTGCTATAGAGTAAAGAATGCTAAGATAGCAACCCAACTATGTCAGCAACATAGAGTACAGTTTGCCTTGCCTTTCCAATGAATCATGGTAGGAAACATCATCATCCTCATGTAATGATGCTGTTGGTTTCACTCAGACTTGTGGGAGATGGTCCTCGAGAAGATTTAGTACAAGCCCGCATTGGAGATCGGTTACATCTCTACTGAAACAACCAGACCCCAGATCGAATAGCGGATTATAAATTCAGTACCAGTTATTTCCTGGTCCGCCTTGGGCAGCAGCAACTTTTCTAGCTATGTACTGAGGTTTTGGCTGCAATCCATTCGAACCTTCAATGGCTTCATCTTCAGTCGTATCATTTTTACATGATGAGTTTCTTCTAGGATATGAACAGTTATTAGGGGCGTACTGTGGTGGAATGGAAGGGTTTCTGGTCGTCCTCCGCTGTTCAAGAACTTCTGGTACCACTGCTGCTGCTGTAGCCCCACAGTTGTATCGCAACACAGAGCCAACAACTTTTCCAGGCCTTGCAGCATTGCCTGCAGCAAATCATCAGTAGAAAAATTGTAATTAGTTAACCAGATAATCAAGCTTAGCAGCTCCATCCGCATATTGTGGTTCACAATTCACGCACATTTTAAGAATTGTAGAAAAAAACTACAACATTTAGCTCTCAGAAAATTTAAAAGATTACAAAATCCCAGGTCAATACCCATCCTAAGAGTTTGAATCCATAACCCCCCGTTTGTCTACTATGTTAACTTACTCTCATGACTACCAACCCATAGTGGTACGAATAAATATTGGGAAAATCGTGGTATTCACAAGCGAAAACAACTTTTTTAAGTAACAGTTGGCCAACATGAAATTATTGTATTTTTATTCTTGAAGATAGAAAAACTATCCTAAGAACTTTAAAATGACAAACCATATAAAACATAAGATCATTTACAAGTAAATGCAGAGTCTCAGCAAACATGGTTGAGTCGTTAAATTATTATCCATGTCCTCTGTTATCGATTTGGCAATCGGGGTGGCTCTCTTGAAGATACCATCATGCTAAAAATGAATGAATAAATGCAATCTTCGCATGTGAGGAAATATAGAGGCATGCAAATCTGTGCAATTGGATAGCAACACTCACCTTGAATAGATTGAGGAACTTGAATAGGAGCTCTAGTTGAAGGAATATTGCAAGTCCTATCCACTTGTGGCCTCTCAACTTCTTTGATGGAACATTTGGATAGGTCATTCACAACTTGTGCCGAGTTCTGTACCATGTTATCTGAATATAAAACACATTGCCTGCGTGCATAATAACTGAGAGGTTAACATTCAATCATTTCCAACGATTTTCAACTGATGGATAGCAAAAAAAAAAAAAAAAAAAAGAACAGAATACTAAGATTGAAGTATTAAAAGAGATACCTCGGCAAGGATGCATGTTGTCTTTCAGGAGGGGCAACGGTTGCACCATTTCCATAGTGTTCTTCAAGGTATGCAAATTGCTTCTTAAAGTGGTCAACTGCACTGTAGAAGCAAACATTTTTTTTTTACATGGCAACATTTCTTAAATGGTCGAGAATCTAAAGACCACTTAGTGGATTGAAGTTCTGGGTAAGATCTTTTTTGAAGCCCTCAAATGGAGGTCAGAAATCTAAATACAAAAGAATCTCATATTGAATACTCGATTACGGGACAGCTCATACAAATGACCTATGGAAGGAACTTAGCTATCAAGAAGACTTGAGTGAAAGATTTCTCCATGGGATCGGAATTCCAAAACAAAGCATGATATAGCTTGGGACTGTGATATTAAAATTTGAAGCTAGATTGTTTATATTTAAAAAAAAAATTGTGTAGAAGTTACAGGGGAAGTACATTTTCACCCCAACCAAACCCCAAAATAACAGTCGTGAAAAAAGTGAGGTGTCTCGTAAAAATGCTAAATTAGAAGGGCATAGTATAAAAGCACCTCGAGGATAGAATTGATCAGATAACTGTTGTTTTTAAGATACCTTGGATACATGAAACTGGTAGGTTCTGATCCATCTAAGAACTCCTTCAACATCTTTGGATGGTACTCGAGAATTTCCCGGTAAATAAGCTCCCTAACATCTTCTTTGGTAATTCTTCGTCTCTCAAATTCAAATTCCATCTTAGTGACAGGTTGAGCAGATGGCTCTCTTTCAACCTTCGCTAAGCCTTTAAAATATGGATCTGCAAGGGCCTAAAAGTACGTGCAACATGTGTTTGAAAACTGTATTATGTAAATATAAGATGGACAGGTAATGAATGATTTTAGAAAGCTTGCTAGCTTAACAAGATTGACTGAAGTAATATGATGAGAATCTCTTGATTCTTGTCATAAATGTGGGATATTTTCCAAACCCAATCAATTTGCGGTGTATTAATTAGTAATCTTAGTAAACTGGGATTGTGGAACTACTCAGAAAGTCTCTTACCTCCTCTGCTGTAGGTCGATCCTTTGGCTCAAAAGCCAACATTCTTTCCAATAAGGGAAGTGCTCGGGGATCTGCATGAGGAAACTTCTGGGAGAAAGGAACAGGCTTCTTCTTTCGCATACTGCTTAAGTATCTCCGAGCTTTCTCATTTCGTATCTAATCATATAAGATTAGATATTTAGCAAAAGAAAATGATATACATACAAAAGTCATTGTTAAACTTAAACTTGATAAAAACATTTCACAGGAATCAAACCCTGGCAATGGCTTCTGCATTAGGGGTTCCCAGAAAATCTGTCATCAAATCTAATTGGTGCACAACATTCTTTCCAGGGAAAAGTGGTTTTCCAGTTAAAAGCTCTGCAAAGATGCAACCAATGCTCCATATATCTATTGCTGGTGTATACTGAAAGAAGTATATATTACAAATTAGAATGCATGTAACAGCTTTGAAATCAACAAACCTATTTTCTTTGTTGGTAATAATGAATATCCTTGAACTCATTTATAGGGAGTTTTCTCAAATTTACATGACATTATGATCTGACCCTGTTCTATATTAACCGTCTTACAGGAGTTAAAAAAAATTTCAGTTGATCATTCAATAAAATCTCCTTGTGCCTTCATTCTACCCAGACTACAATAAAGAGCATTCCATATAACTTAAATAATACATAAAATTATAAGCAGTTAACAACTTGACTTCGTAACAAGAAACACACGTACACTCACACAAAATATGAAAGCTGTTCAAAACCATGATGTCAGCCTGGAAAGAAAAAAAATGACCAAAGATCCAAGTGAACCATTAAAAACTATTAGGTAACCAGGGGAGATTATAGAAAACCATATTCTTCGTGTGAATTTGGGAAAAAATGCTACCAAGATGTTGTACTTCATATTATTTCTCTTTTCAAAAAAAAAAAAAAAAAAAAAAAAAAAAAAAAACTCAATATCAATGATTAAGTTAGCACTAAAAGATATGCAGTAGCAAACTTTCACCTTTGAGAAAAATGAACCGCACAGTTCAGGAGCCCTGTACCACCTTGTTGCTACATAGTCCTGCCATAGCAAGGAATATGAAACAAATTGATTACGAGATAGTGTAACAAAGAACAAGGGCCTTTTAATTGAAAGAAATTGACCCACTGAGTAATAAAGCAGCAGCCACAGCTATTTACAAAGATACGTACAGTCCAGAAAATAGCAGTAGGAGTATCATTAAAAGCAACTCTGGCTAGACCAAAGTCACAGATCTTGAGTTTGCAGTCAGCATTTGCTAAGATGTTTTTGGGTTTTAGGTCCCTGTGGAAGACGTTTGCTACAAATGGTAATTATTGAGTTGATATCAGTACCAGAATAAACATTTCACTTCAGAAACTACTTTTTCAACTCTTTGCAGAATACAATTATTATACTCCAAATAAACAGAATCAAAATGCATGAACTTGTTGACGATAAGACTATGACCTGTGTGTATATATTTCAAGCCACGAAGAAGCTGGTAAAGAAAGAACTGATAATGTTCTGGAGTCAAATCGTCGTTTGCTTTGATAACTTGGTGTAAATCAGATTCCATGAGCTCAAACACAACATATATATCCCTGAATTCCCTTCTAGATGGAGGTAGTAGGATGTGCTTTATCTCTACAATGTCTGGATGTCTCAATAGTCTTAAAAGTTTTATCTCACGAAGAATGCGAGTTGCATCAGAGACATGCTCAAAGATATCGTTGATTTTCTTAATTGCAACTTTTTCCCCAGTATGAGTATCATATGCAGAGCAAACAACACCATAACTTCCTTTACCAATTACTTCCTCTATTTTATACCTGCTCCCTTCACCATATTCTGTGAAGAAATCCACATCTATAGACGACTGCATCAACACATTTAAGCATCTATAAATATCATCATCACCAAGAACACAATGGAGAGAGTGAATCAAAAAGTAGAAACCCATAAATACACAAGTAGGTGTTCAAAAAGCACATCCAAATACCATTGAATTTCGCATTTGTGAGTTGGTTACACAATTTTTAGGCGCCATCACTCTCACATGAGATAACAGAAGAACGTAAACAGTAAACTGTACATGGATTTCAAAAAATCCAGAGAAGGAGATAGTACTTGACTTTGAAATGACTACCTATACATCTTGGCAAAACAACTTAAAAACAAAAAGAAGTTATTTCTTACCAACCAACTAGCATAAAATCTAACCAACCTTGAATCCATGAAGACATTAACATACAACAATTATAAGTGAACTTCTAAAAATGATATTCACACGAAAATGTATGATTGGGTAAGATAATGTCTTCGCATCAGGTGAAGAGGTCATGCCCAACACTAATTTTCAGCTTAACTAAACGGAGAAAACGAAGATATCTCATAAGAAAGAGGCGTAAACTTGCCTTTCTTCTCTGATCGTGCTGCATGTTAGCAAGAAACCTTTCCAAGTTTCCAGATCGATAAGCCAAATAGGGAATCTAACCGTAGCTTCAAAATCGAACTGAATCAGAGATTCGCAGCACACAAGACAGCCAATGTCACTTGGAATCAAGTGAACGAGAAGCAAGTAATCCAAACTAACTTAACTAATCAGTAACCTGTCCAGATCACCAAACTCTGGCTTTAAAACACACTAAATAAAAACCTAATCTCAAACTCAAAACCAAGAGATAAAAGCAAAAGGTGAAGTCCCAAAAGTGCAAACTCAACTGAAAAAATGGCTAAAATTTTACTTTCAAAGTTCAATACAGACAAAATAGTTCATCAACAGCTGGAATCGAACTAAAATGTGAAAAACGAAAAGTAAATACAAAAATCGCCATCAACAAAACTCGGCGAACTCTCCAAAAAAAAAAATGGCTGGGGAACGCTACTGTACACAGATCAAAGCACGGGTCCACGTTCTTCGATGATACTGAAAATCTTTAAAAATAATGGCGGAAAGAACTAAAAATTTGAAGAATCTTGAAGAGCGATGTTCTCGAGAGAACCGGAAGGAAAACTTGGAACAGGGAAAATCGGAATATGGGTACGAGAGAAAGATTGAGCTTCTTCGATCAGATTACTGATAGTTGAGAAATTGAACAGGAAATATAAGCTTTGGAGGAAAGAAATGGAGATTTGTGAGAGAAAAATTGCAGTGGATCTTGAAGAAAGAAGAAAATCGGAAGGGAAAAAAGGGAATATCGCAGGAAGCTGTACCAAGAGGCAACGGCGCAGTCTGTGAGAAGGAGAGAGGCAGTAGAGTCGCTCGTGGCTGATATGGATAATAATAATTGAATTATTCGCTATTTATTTTTTGGAAGAAAATTGCTTTACTTTTTTATTTTATTTTATTTTATTGGTAAATACACTTTTTTAAATTAATTATTTTGGTCCTTCTGTTTAAATTAAACTTTTTATTCAATTTTTGAAATTTCAAAATGTTTCATATTTGCTTTTCAACAAGTAATTGAAATTTGAAATTAATTTTTAAATTGTCCATAATAATTTATTATTAATTAATGGATACACCTCAATAAATAATCTGACAAATAAAATATATTGATTAAATTTTGTGACATATTTATCAAAATCAATAAAAATACCAAAAAATTATAAAAAATATAATACTTTAATTTATTTTGGATTAATCGGTAGTGTCCAGATAGTCAGATTCCTTGGAATAGATGCTGACATGTCGTTTGGAAAGACGCCACGTGTTCCTTCCTTGCACATTGGTTCTCATGTCGTCCAGGAAAAAATAGCTGGCTTCCTTTTATTATTAATATTTATTTTATTTTTAGAATTATTATTTCAATTAAAAATGAAATAAAATAAAATCATTATGGCTTCGAGGTCATCTCATAATTCATATGGTCATTTGCACTTTGAAGGTCTCTATCGTGACGTAATAAATCTAACTCAATTTGACTATATTAGGTTGACTAAACAGTTTACTTTTAGCCTCAATTTCAACTACAAATAATATAAATATATATATATATATATATATATATATATATATATATATATCGTCTCTCACTTATAAATCACGGGTGTTCCTGAGTTGTCTCGGGTCGGATCATTTTTTTAGACATAACCTAAATGTGAGTTGTAAATTTGTTTAACTCAAATTTTAAAAATTTACTTTCTAAGTATTTAAAATCTATTTTTAAGAGTTATTGAAAAATAAATAATTATAAAATTAAATTAAAAATAAAATAAGTAAAAATATTTGAATATTTAATTTATTGTGAAAATAATATACCATTTCCTAAAATAATTCATTTTTGGACCCATGATTGATTCATTGGGCTTATTGGGCCATGCAAGGAGAGAATATTTTATTTGGGCCTACGAGCTGCAGCCCAATATAATCGAAGCCCAAGTCCATTCTACAGATTTATGTATTCATCCCCCAAGGAAGAAAATAATTAATTTAGTTTTTAATTAATTAACTTTGAAATATTTTTATAATTATTTCCCATCTACATCGGTAATTTTATAAATAATTTTATAAATAATTTTAATAATTCAATATGGGTAAAAGTCAAAATTGACTTAATTTTTCAAAATAGGAAGCAAACAACTAACCAATTATTAAATGGGTAATATCTTCAATTTTTTTAAATAATAATATAATTATCAATTGCATTCTTCACATGGTCTCCTAAGCAATTTTATTTATCTTTGTTTATTAAAATATAAAATATGAAAAAACTGTTCGATAAAGTTGGGAATTTGTGGATTTTTTTAATTAAAAAATTGAATTATTTTGTGTGAAAGGGGTCAAATTTTCCTACCAATTATTTGCTTGTACTCATTAATAAACTTGCCCCACTTTTTGACTTGTATTACAATTGACTTTTAATTTTTTATTTAAAAATTTATTACATATTAGAGATTGTTAATACAATATTAAAAATTTTAAAATTTATTAAACATAAAATTTAAAGTAATTTAGGGATATATTAGTAGACTAAATTAATAAAAATATTTTTTAACTCTATATTTCGTCTAAAAATACTGAGTCTACAAAATACTTTTAAACTTTAAAGAAAGGTTAAAAAATGCCATTATCTTAGTTTTGGACGAAATTCCATTAATTCTTTGTTTAAAAAATATAACTTTCAAAAGAGTTTAAAAAACATCCTTAAACTTTCAAAAGTGTTTCAAAAATATTTTATAGTTTTAAAAAATTTTGTTAATACTCAAATTTTTAAAAATAAAATTAAAAAAATACCTTTAAACTTAAAGCAATATTAAAAAGTTTGGAGACAATATATGAGGTGTCAATTAATAATATGATTTTTTTTTTGTTATTTTTTTAATAAAGGTAAAAGGGCGTTAATTCTATTTTTAAAATTTCATAGATATTTTTTAAACATAGTATTAAGGTTTTTTTTTTTTAGTTTAAGGGTATTTTTTTAAAAATAAAATACTAATATTTTATTAAAAAAATTTAAAAAAATAGGAGTATTTTTAGATAAGTACAAAAATAATAATAATATTTTTATTAATTTAACCTATTAGATAAAATTTTAAAAGTTCTACCAAATGTACCATTTCACATTTTTTAGAATAAAATAAAGCAATTTTAGCTTTAATTTATAAGTAAATAAAGAAAATGTAATGGGGAAGACCAGCTAGATAAGGATAGAATTAATTTTGAAAGAGTATGTGATAAGCTGTAATAAAGACAAAACTTGTGGCCATTAATTTTTGCTGCATATTTTTTCTAACTAACTAAATAATTAATTTCACATTATTTTCCTAATACACCAAGCAACCTTAGTTTGGGAATTTTTATTAACCTCCAAAATTAAATTTAAAATATGATTTTTCGATATTATGGATCATATTTCAATTACAAACATCACGGTCACGAAAATTCGTTAAGAGAAATCTGATAATCGAATTAAATACTGAGTACATAGTTTGATAAAAAAAAAAATGAATTGCTATCAGATTACTTTAGAAAAAGAGCAATTGATAGCAGGGTCGGGTTGATTTAGGAAAGGAATTGCTCTAAGTTCTCTGAACCGTAAAAAATAGAATCTTTTGGGTTCGAATAAATTTGTACACTTGATTTAACGAGTTGGTACCAATTTTCAACGTACACTGTCACTTTTGTTTAGTTTAGTTTTCAGTCATTCAATTTAAATTTATATGAAATATAAAAATCTTTTAAATACTGGTTAATTCTAAAAAGTTAGTTGTGGACTCGGACGGTTACAAATGGCATCAGAGCCAACACGGGCGATGTGCCAATGAGGACACTGGTCCACAAGAGGGTGGATTGTGAGATCTCGGGTTAGTTGGAGATAGAAACGAAACATTTATTACAAGAGTGTGGAAACCTCTATCTAACAGACGCGTTTTAAAATTTTGAGGTTGATGACAAACTAACGAGCAAAAGTAGACAATATCTAGTAGCGTTCTCTCCTGAATAAATTTTTTAAATAACTTTATGTGCTAAAATAGTCCACGTTATTTTATTTTATATTCAAACAATTAAATAAAGTCATATTTATTGATTAAGACAATACAATTAGAAAAGGGGCAGCTTCAACCAAATGGTAAACCTTTCATTTTCAGCGCAAACAAATATCAAACATGAACTAAACAAATATTTATAAAGCAATTTGATGACATTACGATGATGAGGATGAAGATGGTGGTGGATTGATGGCCATCCCTTCCCCTCCTTAGTGGATAGAGCACATCTCTTTCCTATCACATTTGTCATGCTCTCCACCTAACCCGACTTACTTTTAACCTTTCTCGTGTTTTTAGAAACATTCAGATTTGTGTAGTCTGTATTTAAATTATAAATTTAGGAGGGTTCATATGACTCGATACCCCGACCAGTCTAAACTACCCAACCTTATAAGAGTTGGGTAGGATTGAGTTTTTTGAAAACTGAAAATTTTGGGTCGGTTCGAGAGTTTACAGTATTTTGGTCAAGTCAATCCGACCAACCCGATCAAAAAAAAAAAATTAGGTTACTTTTAAGATTATTATAAATATTAAAAATATTTGATATTTATAACTGAGATGCCTGTAATTTGAGAATATTTGATATTTTAGTGGTTAATATAACAATATATAATTTTTTAAAATAATTAAAAAAATGAACCAACCAATAACTCAACCCAAGTCAACTGAGGGTTGGGTTGAGAACTCTATTAGGGTTGCTCGAGTCACTAACCCACCCAATCCAAAAATTGGGTTGGTCCAAAAAAATTTCCTCACCCAACCCAACCCAACCCAAACCGTGTATGCTTTTGATAAAATTGCAGTATATAGTATGAAATGAAAGCTTCAAGTTTATATAGCTATGCAATTAGTACAAACGTGAAAATAGTTCAACCGATTAAAATATATGTTCTCGGTTCATTGATTAAAAATCTAATTTTATTGTTTGAGATTAACGAGTCTTCCTATATATTAGATATAAACTCAAAATTTTAAAGTTGACGAACGTAAGACATAACGACTCTTAAAGTTTCAAGACTAATACAAGTCTTCTTCGACGGTCATCAAGTTTCAAGACTAATACAAGTCTTCTTCGACGGTCATCGTATGATTGTAATAGGTTAAATTTGTAGTTACATAACTTTTCTCTATTTCACCCTGCCTTTTTATTTATTTATAAATCATTTATTAAGTCAATTAGAAAAAAAGTAGCAATAAAATTCAAAATAAAATATAATAATCCTTTGCGTTTAAAAGTTTATTAAATAATTTAAAAATATTTAAATTTTTGACTGATATCAATATCTAAAATATTAATAACAAAATATAAAATTTGAAGACCTATTAAATAAAATAAAAAGTTTTAAAAATATATTAAACATTAAATTTAAGAATTTATAAAATAATAAAATAACAAAATAATTATAATTAATTTTTTAAGGATATATTCTCAGTAATTATTTTAATTTGTTTTGTTGAGGATATATTCTAAGTTAATTAGGTGGCGGTCAGCTGGGTGGGAAATACTTTTTCAACGTGTGAAAGTACAAAAAAGTCCTTGACCGGTTCAACTAATAGAGGCGGGGCAGTTGGACCCACGTGTTGGGTTCCAATACGTCTATGAGAGGCACCGATGGTAAATCAGTTAAGATAATACTTTAGTGGTCGTCAAAATATTTAATTTAATAAATTAATTTAAAATTTCTTAATAATAGTATAATATTAATATAAATTTAGTTTTTATCCAGCTCATTAATATATATAAAATTTAAAAATTATATATCTGAATGATGACAAA